AAGGATTCCGAAAATTGTGTACATCTTTCAGTAACGAAGTCCTTAACTTTAGGTATTTTAAATTACTGGTGGAGTTTTGACCCTTTTTTCCTTTGCATAGTCCTAGCTTTAGCTATTTTTTTTTCAATATTGCATTTTTAAACGTTTGTACCCTTTCATCTTTTGATTTGTTAATCATTGAAAACAAAGTTGTGTCATAATATAAAGTATTATAGTTTTGTTGATTAAAACTTTAGAAAGGAAGAAGTAGAAAGGTGTGTGGATGATAAAAGGTGATTTAATCTGCATGATTTCTGTCGTGTGGTTTTAATTTCATCCAAAATTGAACAAACTATTCCAAAACTAGATATAAACAATAAATAAAATAAACAATACAGATAAAAAATATACAATTTTTTATGTGCTGAAAGCTTTTTTATTTTTATTCGAAGGCTTCTTACGGATATTGTAATTCCACTTTTATATTCGTTATGCAATAAAAAATGATATATCGATAGTTAAAGTTGAAGTCGATAGGCCATAGCATTGTCCAAGGCCTTCCTTATTTCTCCTCCCCTTCGATTCTTCATTGAGCTCAGGTTTTTAAATATTAACTGTAATTAATTCCTCATTTCCTTTAAAATGGATATTATGACAAAGCCGTCCGACATCTTGCTCCTACGATTCAGATTTTCATATTTCAAGTTCTTTGAATAAATATATAGTTTACCAGTTATGTTTTGTTTGGAGCTGAATATGTTGATATGCTTCATAGCTTACTCTTGTACAAATACTTTGCAATTTCTTGTATTTTACATGTCCCTCGAACATCAGTAGTATTGATTCTTAATTGTTTCTGTAATTGATTAAATTGTGGCTAAAAATTTCTTGATTTCGTTTTACTCGACTAATGAAGCCACATGGACGACAGTCTGTTTATTTGTATTTTATGCAATGATCTGTAATATGTAATATACAATCGGCGTAGTTTATTATTTTTTTCTGTCAGTTTCTATTTACTTTTTTTTAAGTAGAGCCTCGCCATGGGCACCTTTTTTAAAATTGAATAATAACTTTTAATAATTAAAAACAACTTCATTTTAAAATATTGAATATATTTTGTTTAATAAAACCAGAACGTTGTAGTTTTACAAAAAAATGTCACATTGATTTCTTTTGGAAAGCAGATTGGAATTTATCCTTGGGAGATTTATCTTTTATCTTTTCAAATGATGACGCTATTGCAAACAACTAGATACATTTAATCAGATGAAACAGAGAAAGGAGGTGGGGTCGACGAGCGAGCTAACGCGTGTTCTAATGCGTTGCCCGGCAATCCTTATAAACTGAAGATTACTAGTTCGAATCCCGGTGCCTGGGGGACTTTTAACTCTGGAATTAATCTCACACACATTGACCCAACAAAAACTGTGTATAACCGACCAGGCGAGGAAGGGGAGAAAAAAAATTATGTTTCTATTAAAAATCAAAATATCGGTATTTTCAATATTGATACATCAATATTTTTTTATTCATTTTTCATTATTATTTCTTACTAATAAGTCCATTAAATAATAAATTGTTATCAAATTTTAAATTATTTTCTAAAAACTATTTGGACTTCCGAATCACAGATATTTGAAACAGCTAAAAATACGGGCATAATCAAACTTCAAATCTTTCGAACAATACAATTCAGGATAATTACAAAAGAACCTTGGTACGTTAGCAACATAATCTTAAACACTGACCTTCGTATGCCGACTGTTAACATACTTACTTACGCACCCGTAATAAACGATTCCATGACAAATTACAAGACCGTAAAATACTCATGAATTACATGTCCACTACATACATTACATGGCCAGGTAATTGAAAATTGAAGAGGAGCTGGATGAGGGATCTCCTCGCCTAACAATGCAGCTATCAGGAGGACAATGTATTGTATCATTTGGTTGTCATGTTTTTTTGTTAAAGGTAGGAGGGCACTAAGCTTTCAATGCCCAAGGTCCCAGGTTCGAATCCCGGCTCATGGCAGAAAAATTATTTATCTATTTCATTGGCCGTGGGGCGACCCTGGGAGTAGAGAGATCCTTCTGGGGCACACCTGGTCTCTACAAAGTGGCCCTTAAATATATAATTAATTAAGGGAGAAAATCTGGCGGTTGAGGGTGATCCTGGCCTGATCCCCTCACTGCACAACCGTTGAACTTGAAACAGTACATTCCCTAAATAGTACTGAACTTATAGTTTAGACCCTTAGAGTATAGACCCTTCATGGTTTGTAATGGCACAGGTTTTTTTTTTTTTTTTTTTTTTTGTGAGTAAAGATTAAAAAAATGAATGTTAACATTTTTATAGAATTTTAATAATTTATTGAATAAGAGTGTTATTTTTTTTTTAGCTATTTAACTTTTTTTATATTGTTCGATATGCAGTAGCTAAAAATATATTTTTCTTTATTGACGAATGTTAATAATTTGATAACATTTCTTTAAACGGTGGTATTAATACCATTAATTTTTTTATAATAATTATTAATGAAATTTACAACTGTATACAAATTAATATACATTCATTGGTAATTATGTTCCCCTCCTTTCAAGTTCCTCGTTAAAAACATCAGAGTTTGAAATATCGACATTTTTATTATTATTTAAATATATTTGGTAATTGTATGTATCGAGATTATTGTTCGATATTTTAAAAACAATATCAAACTTTTAACTTTTAAAAATTTTCAATTTTTTAAACTTTTCAAAGATTTGACTTTCGGAATTACCACTTCAATATATTTGAAAAAAAAATCGATACAAAACACATCGATATATTGTTTCGATGTATACAATTCTTGTCACAGCTGAGGTTGTAGAAACTCAAAAAATATGAACGACGGCTACCAACATTTCCTCAATTTATCATGGCTTCGTTAATAAGTAGCATAAGTCTTCTAAGTGAAACTTAATAATTAAACGTTCCGTCAAAACTTGGCGAAGAATCATCTCGACTTGTTGAAGAAGTTGCGGGAGCTTAACCCGGAGCTTAGACCTGTCAGCGCTATAATTTCCTTCCTGTAACGTACTTAGTCCACTTGTAAAAGTTCGTCACGGACGTTTCAGCCCTGTCAAAACTTCAAATGTAGTTCAGAATATATCAGATAAATTGTCTATTTTAGTCCTACAAAACTATAATTACGTACGATCATATGCAAGTAATCTTCAGCAATTTTTTTCGTTAAAATTGACATATCAGTAATAACATTTTATATTAGTTTTAGAAATGGGTATATAGTTTAACTGTAAAATTATAGGGATGAAAAATTAAATAATCGTTACTTTACTCTTTCTTTTCTATACTTCCCAGCCAAAACCGTATGATTTACGTAAGCTAAGTTCTTCTTTGGCCTTCAGACCATTGGCAATTGTTATTTTTATTATTATTATGCCTTGAGGATTAACACTATCTGTCACATCCAAGGGAAATTAGCATTAGAGCTAAAAGTATCCATTCATACAATATACATATTTATACAAGAAAAATAAATGAAAGTAATTAAGAACAAATTAAAAAATAAAATAAAACAAAGTAAAGAAAAATGAACAAACATAATAAGAAGTAGTTTTTTCTTTTTAAACATTTATTGAGAAATATTACAATCTGTCACAATTAAGGACATTAATAATAGTGTTCAAAGAGCACATTCCCAATAAATAATACAGCAAAATAATAATCCTAGCAATAAATGTATATAAACTAAAATAGACTAAACTAAACAAAAAGAAACTAAACTAAAAAAAAAAAACGAAATTAAGCTAATGAAAACTACCCAATGCTATAACTATAACTACCCAAATGCCCACATGCCCAAAAATCCATTCACTCAAGATCTCCGTGCCAAGCCTTTCTAACCACTCCTGGAAGAAAAGGCAGGACTCCAGTCGTACAAGTCGTAGTAAAGAAAGTATACTGATAAAATTAAAAAAGAAATATGTGACTTCCCAAATTAAATCATATATATAAAGATATAATACTAAATCTGTAAATAACAAAAGTAAGTTAAAAATAAAAGCAACAATTAAAATTATCACAGTTTTTAATTATTATTTTACTTTTGTTAATTTTATATTTTCTGTATATATGATGTGAATGTGTTCATATATCACTATAATTATTGTCCACGTGACAGATTATTATATTTCTAAATAAATAAAAAATTAACACAATATATCACATTCAAGGGCAATTAACATTAGAGCTAACAGCATCCATTCATATAATATACATATTTGTAATGAAAACAAATTAAAGTAATTGAGAACAAATTAAAAATAAATAAATAAATAAAATTCTTCTAAAACTCACTCATACCCACGTATGTATAATATTTACATTTGCTCCAGAGACTTCAAGCGAGAGAGAACTCCAGAAGGTCGGGAATAGTTAAGAAACCATTTATATTGGGTCGAAACGTCGGCAAACCCAATAAAAAATTTTTACTGTACATCCTGACAACTTTTCTTTCTCATATTAGTTTTAAATAAAAGTTTTATTAGTCCTCCAACAATTTGCATTAAACGCGGTCCACCAATATACAATTAATTAAATGAATATACAATTAATATATTCATTGTATATTCTTAATAAAACTTTAATTAAATGAACAGTTGTATAGTTTGTAAAATAGGTGTTGGTGAGGCGTTAGTCGGACAGGGGGTACCCGTATAATTAATAAAAAAAACTAAATTACATTTCATCTCTCGTCCTAATTAAAATGAGAAGACTACACGACCTTACTGAGCTCATTACAGTGAAAATGTATTTATTTTTGTTCAACCATTGATCGTGAAATATTATTTAAAGCGTTATTTCTGCAGGGTGAAACATATTAACAACACAAATAGCGTGTGGGATTTCAGAAGGTGGAGATCGTATTAATAGAATTACATCAAGCTGCCCCAGAAAATACCCCGCGAGGAACTGAGAAGATTACAGAGATGTAGGGTGGCGTGGATCCTTGGATGGGAGTGAGGGGTGAGCAATCTCGTAGGTTGGCAGCCATGAAGGAAGAACACACATCACTGCCCCATGTTCATCTCACTCTTATATCTCTTCCCAGGCAGTGGGCTCCATTTAGGGCTAAATTAAAGTTACGATTTAATCAGGAATACTGCCAAAACATAGGCACACCAGGGCAATATAATATAACATATTGAAGACATTCTTGATCAGTCAATACGCTTAACAGGAGCGAATCAACTCAGTGGGTACGGCAATGTGCTCCTACTCTCCAGGACACATGGTCAAGTTCGGTTTATAATAATTTTTTTTTGTTTGTTCAGCAGCGGTTCGATCCTAAAATTTTTTAACGTGCGTTGCAGGATTCGTTTCTTTTTTTAAGTGAAAACATCTTTCGTCTCGGTTTGCACTTTTTTTGTGGCCATTGAATGAGACTGAGCCGTTATACGTATCGAGTTAACATTCATTTGGGTTAAGTTGGTTCGAGTCGACTAATTAAAGTTTTTTTTTTTTACATTTAGATTGAAATATCTCATTAAACCAAAAACGAATCTGTATACTGTAAGCGAGGAAAATGTTCAGTATTCTATCCTCTTTGTAATGAGCTGTAATTCAAAATTCTATTTTGACTTAATGCCGAGTTGGAGAGCCAGAAAGGGAAAATGATATACCATACAATACAATTATTTGCCAAATCTATACACAATTATAATTGTGTATATCGTAAATGTTGTTACTGTGTGAAGATAGAACAAAAAAAAATTTATATTTCGTATTATTAATCTGTCCTTGTTGATGTTTTTACTTCTATCGTGTTCTTTTTTTAAGTGTTATTATTTAGTTATTTGTGCTACTTTTGTATAACTAATTATAATGGATCATTGAATAAAGAATAGTAAACCTATTCGAATTGCTTTTAAAAAATAAGCTGATAAGTTGGAGCAAGATTTTAATTCTGAGTATGTAAATATTATATATTTACAACAATTATTATTGAAATGAGATTTTGAGCTGTGCTTTGTGTTATTAAAAGAAAATTGTTTGTAAAAAGAATAATATTGCTCTTCATTTATTCTTTTCTCATTTGTAATTATCCATAATTTTATCCATGTAAGAAACATAAGTGACATGTTTTCTGCCAGAAGACCATACTATAAGATTCTCTTGCGTGACTACTAGCCCCTACAAAGTGGGAACTCTTAATTAATTAATTTATTAAGTGGAAAACCGACTATTTGAGCATGATCTCGATCCAATCATCTTCCTTTACAATTGTAGTCCTTGAAACAGTATTATCATTCAAAGTACTCAACACAAGACCCTTCATGGGCTGTAGTGACACAGGAAGATAATTAAGGCAATATGTTAGACAGTATTTTGTATATTAATTTTTTGAAGAGATCAGAACATTTACGACTGTGGTCAATGTATCGAGTAAAAAAACAGAACTGTGGGATCAGGATTGTACTATTCATATGATTTATGGAACAATTTGATGTTTTGTACTGAGAATTTGATCGTTCTTTGTATACAGTTTGATATTATCGTACGAACATAAATAAATAAGATGTAAAAATCAAGGTATTTTTACGCCATTTATGTAAGTAATGTTAGTTCAAAACCTTATAAAAATGTATGCCGGTCAAAAGAAAACCGCTAGCTAATCAGCCATACTTAACGAATCCAGAATAACGTGCCCCAGATCTAAAACTACTCAATTTACCAATAAAAGGTTACCAAAGTAGGACTTCAATCTCAATCTAGCAAAGTAATCTTCCTAACGACTTCATATGTAACTTAGAAGTGGATGGCTACTTAGAGGCAAGAAGAAAGGCCAGCACAAAAGGCTTCGTTAGGAACTTTCCTTCGTTAGCGAGGACTATCTATTAATTGGCTTAGGCGAGCCTCCATGTCCTGGCCGCCATGTCCTGCTTCACGACGCTCCAGGATGCGGGTTCCAAGAAAGGAATGTCCAGTCGGAGGCCGCAGCTTCCCAGGAACCTGCTACGTGTGAAGTACCGCATCCTGCTTTCCATCATATCGCTCCTTTCGGTATCCTATTTTATTATATGTACCATAAAAGAGGTTATAACTAAAAATATATAGATCCTTTAGGATGAGTACTTGCATTGAAAAACACGTAAATTAGTTATCATTTATTACTAAGCCAATAATAAATGTATAATAATTAATACTTTTATTATGAGGGTTGACTACAAGAGCATGACAAGATCATGAATATAGATTTCTTAGCAGGAGTGTGACTACAAGAATGTAACAGAAAGAGTGATTTGCACTGAGAACGTTGTGGATATATATGCTCAATAATAGTAGAGAGGATAAAGGAATTCTTGAAACTGCTTTTATTTGAAAAGGAGATCTTTACGTTATATATGATTTGGTAACATACTATATCGATTGACACATTTTTTTCTAAGTTGCTATAATATTAACAGTATTATTGTCATTTGTTAGATATTAAGTCGATCATATATAGCCGAGTGATAAAAAAAACCTATGTACTAAGATTAATATAAATACATATTTTAAAACACAAATGAAGTTTTATAATAATTTTCTTTTCCTTGGTCGATGACAATTATCGAAAAAATGTGGAATGATTCCTTCATCTTATGATACATTAAATTATTTTATATTTTATTTCCTCCTTATTGTGTCAATTTTTCATTGACCAATATTCTTTGCGAATTATTCGCACGGACCAACTAGAAAAAATATTAATTTAAATTTTGTATAGTGAAAAATTAAGAAAAAAAAATTCATATTCAGCTAAAACCGTGAATAACAGTGTTTCTGAGAGGTATGGCCTGAGTCCACTGTGCGTGGCGTGTATTGCTTCCAAACCTCTCTCAGCTATACTCTTTAAACAAGCCTATAAAATAATTATGAACTTTATTATTTTTTTTATTAGGAATTCTCACAAATAATGGGTTTCCTTAACCTAAAGTTCTTGGATGGTTCTTTCTATAATGTCCTATCTAAGGTCCATTCTTCCCGTAGACCACGAACCATCATAGATTCCTCCACTTCGTTATCCCAGGTCTTCCTCGTCTTATTCTTTCTCTAGTTTTCCATGAGTGGACTTCTTTGGGTAGTCTTCCTTCAGGCATTACTTTCAAATGCCCATACCACTTTAGGCGTTATTTCTCAATCTCTTCCAGAATGGTTCTTTTAGCCTCTATTTTTTCTCTGATGGTCGTATTTCTGACTTTATCCATTCTGGATATTCCCAGCTCTTCTCCAGTAGTCCATTTCGGTGGCTAGAAGTTTCTTCCTGAGGTTGCTTTTTATGGTCCAAGTTTCTGAATCATATGTCATAATGCTCAGTACAAAACTATTGTAGATGTTTTTTTTTTGTTTTGGAGATAATGTTCCGAGGATAATATGAACTTAATATTTGTATTCAATGATGAGAAGATATGGAGAAAAAAGGGAAATATATTTCTCGGATGGTAATTTTGAAACTAGAAACGCTGTTCTAATCTAAATCGTACAAGACACCCAACGCTACGAGGTAGGCGTTAAGACACTTAACTAACCGTAACGTAGTTTCGTTCCCACGTCTTTACTTTAACGTAAATTATCATTGTAAATACGCACGAAAAAAATTCTCTATACCAACGAATACAAATTGATTATCCGTTAGGGAATGAGTGGGGAGGAGGAGGCAGTGGTAAATTCCAATCACACGGTCTTATTTATCATAAGTGCAGATACAGAATAAAATAACCCGTCAACGCTCCACCAATTCAGACAGAAAAGAAAACAAAACCAAGATTAAATTTTTTAATTTATTAAAAATATTATTTACTGTAGGTCTAAATGATTTATCAATTTTGGGCTATATCATTAATCTATATATTGGGGGTGCGGTATGGTGCAGTAGTGGTTAATTTGATCTTAGTAGCTTTATTAATAAACCAAACTAATGAAGTCATGAGTCTCTTACATACAGGTGAACAGTGAACATGAAAAAGTTTCGCCAATTCAGGCATCTTCAGAGCAGAAAAGTCACGTATATATCTACATTATCAACGAAGGAGGTATACCTCTACGCATGGTTGCAGTTAACTACCCAAAACTACGAGGCATTCTTATGGGTGGAAGGAAGTAATAGGTGCAGCCCATTTCAATATGGGAATAAGACGGAGACTTCCGCAATCTGGGGTTACTCCAGAAAGGATAACAGGAAAAGAGGAATATAACAAGAAAAGAGTTAAATTTTATTGCTGTATGCAATAAAATGGATTCCCGTATTGTCGACAAATAAGGAAGGAAGAGAGCAATAAATAAATATATGATAAATAAACAATAAATAAGAAAAAGAAAAAAAAAGAATAAGAAAGAGAACAAAAATTAAAAAACAAAGTTTGCTATTGACATCTCTTCAATATATATTCTCTCTCTTGTTTAATTCCGAATGTTTTTGAAGGATTAATGATATGCCAATAGCAACTTTTTTTATCTCTTTCTTTTTTATCTCTTACTTTTTTTTTGTGTCCATTCATAATGTTTCATTTCAAGCTGCTATCTTATTTCAGTAGTATTTATCTATAAATGTTTCACAATGCAATTTCTCTACATAAGATTATTTTTTTCTGTTGTTTCAACCAGAGGGTCTTTCTAAATCGTCTTTAATTCTCAAGCTTATTAGATCTGGAGCATATTGGACATATCTTTATTAAATTAAGCGCTATATTATGGAGTAAGGAAGGTGGATCCGGGCTGGCGTTTATAAAAAGACTAAAATAGTAAAAAACTATTTTATTTAAAGTCAACTTTTCGACCAGACTACGTATGTCTTCTTCAGAGGGTTGTATAAAAATGATGGGAGTTTCAGTTGAAACTGGTCAGTTATTAGTCATTTCACTATTTTAATGATCGCCACCTCGGACCATCTTCTTACTCGTACATATCTTTAATAATAATAGCACATTTCTTTTTTAGATGTGTCAGATTTCTAGATGTATATCTGAGTATTGTTGTTGGGAAACTTCGAAAAAACATTCACATATTTATGGATAATTTTATCGATACAATTTTCATGCACTTTTTTCTTTTATAAAATTATTATTGTATCTAGAATGTGATCATAAGTTTTCTTTTCTGTCCTGATTCTGCCTTATTTGACGTGTTACGTTATTTTTTTTATCTACATTTTAGAGGCATAAGACCGTGCTGTTAATTTTTTTTTTCAATTATGTCCTAACAGTGAATAATAATATTTAATTCAAAATAAAATCATATTGGCAAGAAGTTACTAAAAGCGCTTTATTTCCTAGCCTGGTAGTAGTTAAAAGATTTAAATTAAATTTCCTCTGAGAAGAGGCTGTTTAAACTGCATTACACCCAGCTTGCTCTAAACGACTTTGAACTGGATGCTCTCGGCAATCCGACTTAATCTCGGCTAATTCAAGGGTTAGTGCATTTGCATACCGCGGTGTCGGCTAACTCTTACTTGGCAAACATGTAAATTTGTTCGCTGAAGAGGATTGATTTACCTAGTAATTAATAAAAAGAAAATTGTATTAAATTAAATATTATTACGCGTAATATTCATTTATTGTTATACATATTTATCTTTTCCTTTTAAAAATTATAGGAATGTGTTAAAAACATTTTATTTTAGTAGCATTGTAAATTTACAAAAAAAAAAAAGTTAACCCTCTAAATTAAAAATATTCTACGTATTTCTTAACTTCAGTTACAGAGGTCTTTTTTAACATATAAATTGTTTTATTTCAAATATCTAAGAAAACGTTAAGTAGAATGTTTCCTAAAGCAACAAGATCCATGTGGTATGAATTAATTTAGTTCTAAACAAAAGAATAGGAAGGCTGAATTATAGAATTATTTATTAAATAAAAATAATGTTTAAAAATATGTATTTAAAGTTAATGAATCTAAATGTCAACATGTTACCTTTACACTCCGACGCAGTTCCTGTCCACCAGTACACTTTAATTCCATCCAGCTTCCTTACTCAGACACAGTCCGGTATCTTGGCTTTCATTTAGACCGAAGACTAACATGGAACCCACATACTAGACTCAAAAGACAAGAACTCAACCGACAATACGGCCAGCTATACAGACTACTAAACAGAAAATCCAAACTTTCTATTGAAAATAAATTACTTATCTACAAGACATTACTGAAACCTATATGGACATACGGACTTGAACTGTGGGGAACAGCAAAAGCTTCTAACATCAAACGTATTCAATCCTTTCTATCTAAAGTCCTTCGAACAATAGTTGATGCTCCGTTCTATGTAACTAACAAAATCCTACACCATGACTTTAATATCCCATTTGTCCTAGACCTTATTCCAGAAAAATTCTCCAAATTTCACCAGAACCTTACCTATAATCCAAATCCTCTTGCACAATCTCTATCCAGCACCACCCATCCTTACAATCCTCCTCGAAGGTTGAAGCGGCAGTGGCCCAGAGACCTTCTGTAAATAAGCATCTATTGGAGTTTTGGCAATGACCAGATCCTCCACTCAAGCCCGAGTGTGTATAATTAGGTTGGTTCTTTTGTTTATATACATTTATTTGATTTTATTGTAGTTATTATTATTAAGTTTCTGTATTATTTATTTTTATTATTGTAAATAGAGTGTGAGTGTGCTCTCTGAACACTATTATAAATGTCCTTGATGTGACAGAATGTAATATTTCTAAATAAACAAATATAAAATAAATAAAAAATGTATATATATATATAAATATCGATATACATAATCTACATACCATTACATTTATTTTTTATTATATTTAATATATAGTTTATTGCAAAAAGTCACAAAGTGCATTATTGCTAGAAAAGTGTAAAAAATGTTTTTGAGAAAAAGCCATTATTTATCTATTCAAAAACGCTATAACTGTAAAAGCGATACAAATCCTTTATTTATCATACGAGTTACACCAAGTGCACAATTTTTTTATTTAAAAAAGAGAAAATTCATCGAAGTTTTTAATTATTTGAGGTTACGAAATGTCACTTAATGACTTTTTGCAATAAATCGACGATTTATCAGAAAAATTAAATTATTTAATAAATAAAACTA